AGGGGGGGGGGGCGTACTCATTTGTTGCTTGCCGTAGTCATTTGACCATTGACCACGCGTCCCTTTCGAGACGGAGGGGGGGATACGAGTACAACACGGGGGGGCGGCGGGGCCGTTGACCATGATCCTTGGGGTAGGGTCGTGAGTACCAAAGTAGTAGTGGGACACCTGGGAGGTCAGCAAGGCTGAGGTATGGATCACATGGGGAAACCAGAACAGCGCGAGTAAAATTCAGCTGCGGCCCAGAGAAACAGAGAGAGAGAGAGGAGAGGGGGCAGGCCGGGACAAAATAAGAACGGCCGCAAGGAAATTCGCGACACGAAAAAAAAAAAAGAGTGAGAAAACAAGGCCGCCCCTTCAAGTCCATGTACCACGGCCACACTGCACTCGACCAGACACACAAAAGAAAGGCCAGGACGACAAACTCTACAGAAACAACGCAACAACAAGACCAAACAGCAACCACACATTGTACCTGTTTGGAACTCAACCCCCCCTCCTGCTGCCGTCGGCGCCGCCTGACTCCCTCCCCCGCCCCAGCCCCCTCCGTTCTCGTCGCCCCCCATGAGCCCGAGTAAATCGACTTCCGGCGCAGCCGCAGCGGGGGGCGCAACGTCGCCACCGCTCGTCCCCCCTCCCCCCCCCGCAGGCGCCGTTACCGCCGCGTCGTAGAGCTGTTGCTGGTCAGCCTTGGAGCGCTCGAGCGCCAGCCCTAGGTCGGCAAGGTCGTTGGCCTCGGCTTCACCGGGGATGGCGCGGGTGTTCTTTACTTTCTGCGGTAGGGGGGAGAGCGGTAGGGGATAGAGAGGAACAAAGAAAGGCGAGAGAGGGACAGACAACGCAAGGAGAGAGAGCAACAGATAAAAGAAATGCAAGGGTTGGAGGTGGACGGGAGTAGGAATAACACAGAATAAACAAAGAGCCGCATGGGGGGCTGTTTCCGTGCGCACGAGAAACGTGTGCCCGATGTTACCGCCGCGTCACGTACGTTGGCGATACAGGTACGGCTATCGCAACGTTTCACAGGGAGAGACACCACAATCGCCGCCGAAATGGTGTAAAACAAGCCCTCGTTTCAGTTTGAGGATGCTGCTTGCTTCTTGTGGGGTCATTCGTTCGTTTACATGCGGATATCATCAAAACCTTTTGCTGCAATACACGCCAGCCAAACAAACAAAAGGCCTGCGCATCAACTCTATTTTTCAAGAGGCTCAAGTGTCGAAGATCCTACAACAGTCCAGCTTCGAAGCCGTGGTCTACAATAAACCAGTGGCCGAGCGATTCACCCTAAACCAAGACTCCCGTGCTTCTCTCCTTCGAGCTCCAACCCGCCTCTCGATATCGACCCCGCCACCGGATGAAGGAAAAGCTGCGTCGACTTACTTATCAAAGAACCCCGGGATATAAAACCAAGCGAGAGGGACGAGCCGAGGTATCGAAACGCACCTTGGCTCTGAACTCCGGCAGCGTGAAGTTGTCGCTGTGATCGTCGTACACCATGGACAGCGTGTTGAACTCGCTGAAGACGACATCCCGTCGGCCTGCCGCAGAAAAAAGGCGAACAAAGACGGCCACAACGACCGACAGTCAGCAGCAGAGACGCGCAGGACCAAGGCCGGGAAACATCATACCAGTAGGCCCAAGGGAAAACAACTTGATGTGTACAACCATTACCCTCCTTTCGCGTATCGATTTCCGATTCTTCGGAAAGGAGAGTGTGTGACTTGCACGGCCCCTCGGAATACAGTACCTGCCTGCGGTCTTCACCGTATGGAGTCGATAAACGTACAAGTGCAGACCCTTCCAAGAGCAAATCACCCCCGCTCCGCCTTTGGAAAACCCGGGGCTCGTGCAAGAAAAGGGCTACTGCTGTTGTTGTCTCGAACGAGTACTCTTTCTGTTTTTGTATGTATATCTTCGTAAAATAAATAAAAGCTCCGGTCATACAAGCGGACTCAGAGTACAAGAGAGGGTCACGTCCGTGTCCATACCGGTGTCCCTGTCCTCGGCAAACTCCCCGCTCACGGGAGGCCTCTCGCAACAGCAAACCCGCCGGGCCACCTCGGGGTCGTGCTTGAGCAAGCGGTGGTACAGCAGGGCTCTATCGTGCAGGTCCTGAGAAGACAGATCGTTCACGGCTCTTGCCAGCAGCCTGCCCAGCATAGACTGGAATTCGGTTTCGGATGGGCAGAGAGAGAGAGGGGGAGGCGTGTGTTTTGGACGCGGGTGGAGGGGGGGGAAGTACTCTCGTCCGTGTCTGTTGCATGTGTATGTATACATGGAGGGAGACAGGACAGGACGGCCTATAGAAGCTTTCGGTCTCTCATCATATTCCATCAGCTCTGGGCGCCTACACAGGCATATTACACAGCTATCGGCGCTTGTACAGGCAGGTGTACCGGTCGACGGGGGTCAGTCACAGCAGCCCTTCTTGCACGCCTCGACGCGAGAAAGGGTTCGGCAAGGGATTCCCTCGTCCATGTTGTCAATTTTTGCCGCCTCAGCGCTCCCCGAACGATGTCGCGGCCGTGGTTGAACTCCCAACGTTCATGCTTATCTGCTCATCAACACAAGGGTCGAGAAAACCGCACAGATGGAAGGGTGCTGTGCGCAAGCACAATCCTCTTTACTTTACAGCAGTACCTGCATCTCGGGGGGACGCTTGAAGAAGAGCTTTACAGCAGCCGTCAGGAGGTGCATCTTGATCTGGGACGACGGCTCCTCCTCCCACGCGTCGACCAAGGGCTCTAGCATATACGGGGCCTCCTGTGATGTCAGTTAGCGAGCACCAACAAAGCCACCCCAGACGGGGGGGGGGGGGGAGGTCATGCCTCGTGCCCCGTCCTCCTGGTGGCTCACGAGCACCCTTTTCTGCCGCACCCTCAAGCTCGGGGAAGCACAGCAGGCGGAAGAAGCTTCAAAGAGCAGACACAACAATAGCACCGGCAGCAACAACACCGGCAGGAACGCCAAAAAAACTTACGCGCGGTCGATGTGCGACCAAACAACGGCGACAAAGGGGCCAAAAAAATAAATCAAATATTTACCGTGATTTCATCGCCGTACTCCCCCACCATCCAGATCACTGCCGCCTTGCCCGCGGGCTCGTCGATGTGTTTCAGACACCTGAAAGAATGCAGCCAGGTTTAATGTATTAATAGGTATCTTGTGGTTGAGTGAGCAGAGAAAGGTGCAGAACCAAGCAAGCAAAAACATGACGCGCATTCTTCCGTAGGAGAAACATACGACAACATCACGTAGCACTGCCGGGTCACCGAGGTCGCGAGATTTTAAACAAGGGTGGGGCTTATCATAGTCGTGCATGCCGTAGTCGTTAGACCATTGACCTCGCATCCCTACAAAGCCGGGACGGAGCACGCCCGGTTCTCACCGGACCAGGCTCGGGGGGGGGGTCTGCGGCAGTAGGTTGACTAACGGGGGGAGGAGTCGCGTGTCTAAGCAATACACACTTTCCAAACCGACCCGTCGCGAGCTCTCTTGCACTGCGAGTACCAAGGTGGGTGCCAGCCAACCTGCAAACCTTTCGCGAACCTGCGGTCGTCCAGCTGTATAGCGCAACAATGCCGGCTGCTGTACGTGCACAAAATTCTGCTAAGCTCTGCCCGGCTCTCCTGCCTGGGGTCTTAAAACTAGCTTCGAAACCCAACCCTAAGAAAAAAAGTCAAAAACACACAACAATGCCGCGTCTACATACTCGGTGAGGGTTCGGGGTCGATTTTCGTGCACATGTCTAGCTTCGATTCAGCGCATCGATGCGGTTGCTCTGCTGGATCGGGTTCCGATTGGAAACCCGGCCATGATCATGGCAAGCAACCGACAGGACGACAGTGCCCTCTTCTCTTCTTACCTCTGGAGCGACGGCAGAACCTCCGTGCGCCACTGGGGGTACTTCCTCAACAGCACCTCCACCACCTGCACCGCCTCCGCCTTGACGTAGCTCACCTGGTTCCAACCAAAAGCACACAACACAGGGTGAGCACGACAAGCAAACATACCAACAAGCACCCCGCCGGGCCAATGCACGCACCGACGCATGTACATACGTCGACCAGTTCGTGTTTCGGCACCTACGTACCAAGTCGCCAACACCAGGCCATCGGCTCGGGCACTTCCATCAGGCCGGTCAGCACGACGACGTCGAGTCTAGGTACGTCTATATTAGGCAGGCCGCGATCAATCAGAGGAGATTGCCGGAGGGTGAACTTGGAGCAGACAGTGGACTGCTAAACAAAACGACCAACCAGGGTAGCACCTTCCTTACACTACTGCAACCAAATAACCCTCCAAAATATCGCACACCAAGACACGGATGCCACCGCCACAGACTGTACACCCGACCGGGAGCAAATCGCCCCCCTCACCTTTTTGCAGGGATGAGAGGTCAACGACTACAGCATGCACGCCTACGAGCACCCCCCCCCCCAAATCCCCCACGCTCACATCCATCCCCATGAGGTCGATCAGCCGCTCGATCGCGGCAGCGGCAGACCCAGGCAGCCGGAGGCAGATCTTCCCGACGGCCCGCATGGCCTGCCGGGCGAGCAGGGGGTCCATGTCTCCGGCGTACTCCCCTAGCTCGGCGATGACGGCCTCGGCCGTAGTCGAGTCCGCCAGCAGTGCCAGGCAGCGCACCTTGGCGTACTTGACCCCCGTGGGCTCGTTGTACCTGGTGGTGTTGTGTGCAAAAAAGCGAGCATAGGGTGGGAGTGGGCCTTCGCGGTCGGTTGTAGAACTGTATTTGCAGTCTTCGTTCTCCTCCTTGAGACTGGTACTGCTGTCATGAGAAGAGGAACAACAGACGAGAATACAACAAAACATGCTTGACGCTATCTATCAGAACCATAATAGTGTCATACCACAGGTTTCCTAAGGCACCACTCCTACGAAGACCTCAACTCACACCAACATCGGCCAACTTTCGGCGCCCCCGCGGACACAAAAAATGCCCCACCTAGTAAAAAACTGCCGGTACTCGTCGTCGAAAACGCCGGGGCAGCGGGGTAGCATCCCCTCCAGGTGCTTGAGGATGCAGTACACCGTCTCCGAAGACCCTCCCGCCATCAACGTCAGCAGCGGCGCTTTCGTGCGCTCGTAGACCTGCGCGTGGGTCCGGGGTCGTGTGCGAGGAGTGTGAACAGCGGCGTCATCGTGTGTGACGTCATCATGTGACGTCATCATGTGTGACGTCATCGTCGAATGGATACATGTCGATTTCTATCGCGGTGTCGATCGTGACTTGGACGTGGCTAGGTAAGGTTGTGGCATGTGTAAGAGCTCTCCCGGCGAAAGGGCAGATCAAGATATCTAGCAACGGTACATTGAAGAGTCCTCTTGGGTACCCACGCTGTGCACTCGCCAAGTGCTGGCCATACTTTTTTCGTCTCGCACGTTCGCCCTCTCACCCCCCCACGTAAAACACCGAAACGCTGCCAATTGTGCTGTTCTGCGCGCCGAACACGAGACTCGGAAGAGCGACAAGCTGGGGAGCATACAACTCCACACAAAAGGCATTGCGATAAGCTATTCCTGCCGGAAGGGTACACAGAGGCAGCCAGAAACGCTTGGAACATCTGAAACCATCGGCCTTGTTGCTCAGCACAGAATGAGGTGAGTGGTGATCTCCTCAAGGAACCAATGCTTCCTTTCAACACAAACAAGCAGAACTCCCGACGCAGCAACTAACCGCCGCCTCAGAAAAAACGAGCCGAAAAACAAAATGCCGCCCAATGACTGGCGTCCTCGTGTGCTATCTTCGCGAGCTATGGTAACACCATCTACCGCAGCAGAGCATCACTGGCAACACCTGATATCGCTATCTTCGCGAGCTATGATAACACCATCTACCGCAAATTAGCATCAGCGGCGGCACCTGATATCGCATGTCCGGCATGTTTTTGGTCAAGAGGAGGAAGCAATTCACCGCGGCTAGAACGGCACCGCTGTTGCTCGTGCGCAGCACAGGGTCCACGAGGTTCATGATTTCGAAGGCCTCGTCTTCATCAGCAGGCTCGTGCCTGCCAGCATAGCATGAAGCGGCGGAAGAGGGGGTCACTCGTCGCTTGTCGAGCCGGGGAGCTTTCAGTTGACATGACTCTTTAGCATTCATTCCCGTTCGCAAGGAGGAGCGTTTTTTTTTATACACCTCTTCCTCTCGCCGAAAATGTGGCCGACCCCCTTGCACAAAAGTAGTCTCGTTGCAGGCCGTCGTTGCCAAGCAGCACGCGGACACGCAACAATACCCAGCAAAGTCGCGCTCTGGAACAAGCAAGAGACGGACAGAAGGACAACCAGTCACCCCGACTAGCAGTCTTCCACCCCACACGACGCTTCCCGTGTTCGCGCGCCAAATTGGTCGTCTCACTCTGACCAACGCTACCCTCTACCATTACCATACTACGCCAACAACACAAAAACAAGACTTGCGTTCTGGTCAACAGAGACAAGGCAAAAAGAGGCCAAGACTAGACTAACCTGGACACCAAGGCGAGGATGTGGCACACCCCCCACTCGTTGAAGTCTTCCAGTCTCCCCAGGAGGTGGTGCACGATGGCCGTGTTCGTCGCCATCCCCCCCGCGTCCGCCATAATCTCGTTCAACACCACAACGCAGTTCGCCACCACCTATATAGAAAAAAAAAGTTGTGGTGATTTTTGTCATCGATGGGCGGGCGGGAACCGCTCAAGCGCACAAAACGCACATGTGCGGATAGTTAATAGTCGAGTGCGGGTAACATGTACGCGTGGGAGAGACTGCGGGAGAACCCTGAAGGACAGAAACACATTGCCTGGCTGTAACAAGAGGCTCCACAGGGGCACGCACACGTTCGTCGTAGACAACAGACTCAGCTCTTTCACCGTCCAGATCATAGCATCAAGCCAAAAGTTGTGCATGGAGCTTATGTTGACAGCAACGCCTACAAGAACGATACCCGACGAAACGAGGTAAACCCTCTCCCGAACCACCCCGAACAAAAAGATTGAAAGAGGTTCCGAACCGTCGTTGTAAGAAAATTCGGCTCCATTCATGAGATCACCTGCGCATCAGTGTCCTGCAGCATGTTGTATAGCGTGTCTACCATGGCGCCGTCTTCCACCGCTTGGGGCCAGAGGTGCCACATCTTAAGGATGGCCATCACCCCCGTCTTCCGCACGTACGAGTTGGCGTCCGTTAGGCTGGCCTTGAGGGGGTCGGAGATGTACTCCACCATCGCCGGAAGCCTCAGGGAGCACAGAGACCGCAGAGCCAGGCCGCGAACCATGGGGTCTTGGTTGTTGCTGGAGGTGGTCGTGGCCAGGGGGGTGCGCAGTTGGCGTTGGAGGGGAGAGGGGAGGAACAGATGTGCTAGTGCTGGAGTCTCAAGTCTCGAGACTACTGAATGCATGTACCGGTGTCGAGAGGTGGTTTAATTGCTGGCTCTCGCTCGTGGGTGGCTACATGGAGTATGGTTTACGGGGTGGTAGTTTTGTAGTTTCCCCTTTTACCGCTTCACCGTTGTAACGCGGCTCTTCGGGGCTGTATGTCCCAGGGAAATAAACCGCTGATCAATGAAGGAATCGGTCATCCTATTGAAAATGCTTGACGATGTTCTTTCTGGTCGGTACGAGGCTCTCGCGTCATACGTTTTGAACCACGATGAGCATACTCTAAGCACCGCGGGTATGAACTACACGAGAGATTTCTCAGCTGCTCGCGCCCATCCAAACGCAGCGGAGGCTCTCCCCAAGCCTCAGCACACCTTTCGTGCTGCTCCCACTCTCGTGTCCTCCCGGCAGAAACTGCGGACCCCCCCTACCCCCCTACTACCGCTGCACGCGCGTGAATACAGATGAGGCAACAGGCAGGTACGCAAGGCCGGTGGTTGGGGCAAAGGGGTTGCGTTGATGAAGTACTGCTGTATGATAAGTCGCAACGTTGTTACGTACCAATCTCGCTGCAGGGTGTTGATGCACATGATGGCCAGATCTGGCTTCTGCCTGGCGTAGGTGCAGAGGTACAGGTACACCATTTTCTTCACCACCAGGTCGCGCGTCTCGATCGCCAGCATCATCTCCGTGAACAGCCGGCTCACGTCTATACCCAGCGTCATGTAGGCGATTACCTTTTCAAGGAGAGAGGGGAGGGGGCGGGGGGGTTGTAAGGGTGGGACGAGCGAGAACACTCTCCGGGCGGACAGGTCGGGGATTCCAAAACCTCCACTCTGTACCCCACGCCCGTGGCTCCTCTACATAGCATTCGTAAGCGGAACATCAGGCGCCACACGCTCGCTACTTGATCGGTTGCTCACCGCCCAAATGCAGGCGCGGTCGGGCGCGTGAATATAATGGGTCCGATGTATTCCACTCCTTCGTTGGGCGTATTTACCTTTTTGATGACCTCTCGCTTCTTCTTAGGGTCTCTGTCCACGCTGACGGCGCGCAACAGCTGTGCACGGTCGCGCAAAACCAAGTATTGAAGAGGGTTTGGGCGGAAAGGGGGGGAGGGGCCCCAGTCAAACGGCGTGCAGACACGGGGTTTCAGGTCTCGATCAATCACTCATTCAGTGACCTTCACGCCGTACAGCAACGACCAGGCTGCTGGTACACGCTAAATTCGAGTTCTTCGGCGACGAGAAGCGGAGAGATTACAAGCTGCAGCATGCTCCAGCGGCGGCAGTGCCAGCGACTAAACTTTTGAACCATGAGCAGGTGGACGACCTCCCAGGCCAAACAACAGTAGCGGTGTTTGCCACGGTGTTGTTCAAGCTATGTCCACCGCAGTGAACCAATTGAGCAGCAGGCCACTTCAGTACAGGAGAGTCATGAGGACTGTAAGAGGCAAACAAACGCTACTTGCTACTGCGTGTCGTGGTCGCCGGTCGAGCCGTGATGCTTGCACAGCTGCAATTGGAGCTCAACACAACAACAGGCCGATACAGACAAGCCCATGTACCGAGGCAGGACTGAATCACTGCTACTGCAGCCGCTAATGCCGTCCTTGTTGCAACCAGCACTGCAACAACCACGGCGGGGAGTAGACTGTTGCTTCGAACACACACCTGCTTCAGCTCATTGATTTCCCCCTTCTTTTGGTCAACGAAGTAGCTCCCACCGGTAGGGTTAGATTGGGATGGTGGCGGTTGTTGCGCAGGGCCACGCTGGGGCTGGTTCGAGTTTCCATACTGGTTCATGCTCATGGCAGTCCGCTTACCCTCTCTCACGCACGGAACGTGCAGAGTGCAGTGCTGTGAAGTGTGAAGTCCGGCATGGGGGGCCCGCGACTAAGAATACGATGTAGTAGAGGTGGGCCCATGTTGCGGCACAATCGCCGATTCGCACATCCATCATCAGCGCCCACGCTCACTGCTGTCCGGCACGTCATGCATATTGCTCACTCGAACCCACAAGCTCATCTGTAATACCCCGGAGTATCGAAAAACAAGCTGCTGTACTCATGCGGTGTGCTCTGCATAAATCCGCATGAAAACGGGCAGCTCCAGCGACATGTAGCTACCTACGGTGGGGTGTGAGTGCGGAATAATACGGAGTTCTGCCCCCAGCACACCACGAACATCAGCACTCAGGCTGCACCACTCGGGCGGCCAAGCGGCTCGGCATCAAGAGGGTCGGGTTCTGCATCAATCGAGTCGCTTGTTATGTAGGTAACACGTTCAGCTCGTGGTATGAACAAGCGTGCAGCATCTTTGAAACGGCTTGAGAGGCAAAAGGCACTCTGACTGAAACAGATAGATCGGGTTGGCTGGTGCGTTCAGATGACTCCTCGCAAAGACGGCAATTTTCTCAAGGAACTTGCCTATGTGCTTCAAGTACGTGAACCTTCCCCCCCGCGCGCGAAAAAATCCCCAACAACCCAGTGATCCCGCGTACGCAACGTACCGTGCTATCGAATGGGCATTAACTCGGAACTTATGGCAACAAATCTTTGAAAATTATGCAAAGCGTAGTCTAGACTGCATGTGTGTGCATGTGGAGAGCGCGGCTAACATGCAAACGTGTAGCGATTCATGCAAATCTGTCAAAATGGTCCTTTGAAAGAAACGTGCGGCCGCACGAGCTCACCGGCGCTACTAACATGAAGACGTATGCTGCATCACATATCTTTCAACCGACAACAACTCCTGATGCGGTAGTGAACAATTTCCAGACGCGGGTGGGGAGGCGTTCTACTTTTGTACGAGAATCACCAGCACCACTCCCAACGAACCTGCACACTATTCCTCTCTCACAGCTAACCATATTCGACAAGACCCCGACTAGTCCGTGCATTCCATAGAAAGTCTTCCTCTCAAGCAAGCGCGACCATATTCTACAAGAGCGCTCCGCGACCGCGCCAATATGCCCGCATTTTCAACCTGGTGTGGTGGTATGCGCGCGTGATGAAGTCTGGTTGACCCGTGAAGAAGAATTCACTTGTTATTACTCTTGCAGAACGGCAGCAGCAGTAGCTGTTGCCTTGGGTGTCGGTAGGAACGACACCAGAGGGCCCAGGATCCTCTACTCAAGCAGGGGCTACTAGATCCTGTCCCCTGTTTTATCTTTCCGCGGGGAGTTACATCGCTCCGCGCCTTCTAGAAGGAACCATTCTCTTCTATGTTCCGTCTGCACATCTGAATCCTACAACACTGGAGCCCTCTTCCTCTAAGCTGTGCGCCACGCAGGACTTCCCCCTGGTGCCCTATGCGCATGCCACTCCCCAAGCCGCATGGCGAGGAGAAAGCCAATCCGAGACGTCGGACTGGATTCCTGGCGGCGTATTACATTTTCTCAGGCTGCTGAGCATTATTTTCAGGCGGCGTATTTTTTGTTCCCAAGCTGCTGAACATCACCGTAGCTCTCGAGCTCCAGGATGTCCTCCTCCGACCCCAAGAACGTCGGGATTCGCTCGTGAATATCAGAAGGCTAGGCAGTAACAGACAACGTGAACAAAGAAGTACGAAGCAGCGCACAAGGCGTACAAGAGAATGTTGCCTCCCCTCCGAGAAGAATATTTGGTAGTTGAGCCACTCGCAAAGTGTTGGCAAGCGGCAGGTAAGAGCTTAGGTAGTCATCACTACATAGCAAGCGACACCGTCCACGTTTATGTACTCGCCGCGGGCATCGCACGCCCACCGCACATTCTGCGACCTTGCAGACACCGCGCGCAGCGTACGCAAACAAGAAGAAAGCGTGATAAAAACAGATTACAGGTGCCGGGCTAAGGACCGACCTCTTTGTCCAGCATCGCTGCGGCGCCGGTGGAAGCCCGTCCTCCGGCCTGTTCGACCACCCAACCCATCGGGTTCCCTTCGTAAACGAGCCGAAGATGGCTCCTACGAGGGGATAGAGCGCGAGAGGCGTCATTTCGCGGCGGGAATATGGTGTCAGAACAGTTAGAAGCACGAAAACAAACGGATAGTCCATTCCGTGCTAACAACAACAGCACAAGGTACCTTCTAGCGTGCAGGAGACTCGCTTCCCCCCGGCCACGATGTCTCGAGAGTGCAAACAACCACCTGCCGTTTCACCGCGTACTTGCGTGGCTCGTTCCGCTTCGCGCGCGTATCTGCCTGCCCCCACACTCTTATAACGACCACGGCCATGAGGGACATGGCACCCATATACGACGCATACAGGCGTGTAGTTTGTGTTGTTCCTCAGAGGTCGTGCAATGCAGTTCCTCGACCGCAAAGGTTACCTTGGGTTCATGGCGACCCCTCCCTCGAACAGCGTGTAGTGGACGTCGGCGACGAGAGAGCACACGTACACCAGGTCGTACCTCTCCCCGCTCTGCCCGGCGCCCGTCTTCATGTCCGAGATGTACTGCTTCAGCCCATCCGGCCAGTCCGGTTCTCGCGCCTCATTCAACGAGTAGCTTCGGCCTACGCGAGGGGTTTCGTGTGGGCGTTTAGACAGGAGGGGGAAGGGGATGGGGCGTGGTGGGGCGGCGTAGAATCGAGGAGGGTGCTTCAGTGGCCAGGAAGGGCGGGGGGAGGGGGGAGGGGGCGTACTCATGTTTGCACGCCTGAACGGTTAGACCATTCACCACACGTCCTCGAGAGGACGGCGGAGAGGCGCGGGGTCGTTGCACATTCCTCAAGACGCTCGCATCCCTTTGCCAAGTCGGACATCGCACGTCGGGTTGTTGTCGACCAGGAAGGAACAGGACGAGTGACGCGTCGAGCGAGACAGCGTCGGTGGTATGTTGTATTCCAACTCCTCTGACACCAAGGTTATGACAGATTCGTAGATACCACTCCCTTCGAGTAGTGTCATCCTGCATTCTCCGCATGTGTCAGTGGACTGAGTTTAACAATACCAGACCCCACGGTACTCAATTGGCGCTCTATTATACCCGCCCCAGAACCCTGCACGCAGTCTTCCCCCCACTAGATATGTGCATACCTCTGGCCGGCATCTTGATGCTGTGCTTCGTGAGCACGAACTCGCCCAAATCTCTGTCGAGCTGGAACACATGCGTGCCTTCCCCGAGGCTGATGACCATCACCTGCAACGACGACACCCCCCCCCAACGTGGAGAGCGAGGCACACACAGGTATGCGCGAACCCAGCGCAGATGAAACGACGTGAGGGTTGCAAAGGAAGCGTTCACGAAAACGGCAGCATTTGTTCACATAACGATGCATTCGACAGAATTTGGGATAGCAGGGTGTGATTTCGAACCATACAAAAATCGAGGGACACATAATGTGTGGATTTTTTACTGGGCGGAGAGAACAGACTCTTCCGGCCGCGAGCTTCCCGGCCATAAAAGCTGAAAGACATACATAGGGTCAAAAATTTAGGCTCGGCGACATCCACCACCACACAAGACTTTGCTCTCGTTGAACACCGCACCATCCCGAAGCGCTATGTAAACATCAGAGAAAGAGTTCTCCTTACACTTCGCCCTCGCACTTGAACCGCATGCATCAAGACACCGCGGCCCAAACGCGTGTGTAAGCCTGGATCATGGAGCGGGGCGGATGATGGGGAAATAATCTACCGCTCACCGTGGACGACGAGTACAGACAATAACCCCCGGCCACCAGCTTGTTGCCAGGCTGAAGAGCGTTTTCCCGCGCGCTCTTGCTTGGGTCCGCCAGATAGACCCCAAATATAGTGCCTGGGATCGCAGATACCACCACCGATTGGCGTGCGTAGTCGGGGTAAGGGACGGGGAAGGGAAGCCACGGACGTCGAGGAGGGGATCGTTTTTTGGGGTGTATTTTTGCCGAACCGTACCGTACGGGCTGCCGAGGTCAAGGCAGCTTGGCACGATCATACGCCAGGTGAGCAGGTGAAATTGAGCAACAAGAAAAACGTGTGGGTTTCAGCCATCACCTCATCCCCGGGGTAAGCAGGCCGGGCAAGTACACAAGCATATGAACCCGAACAAACTATGACGCAAACGCAACAGAAGCAAGAGGACACCCACCAAACATACCCAGAAAGACAAAAAAAATCTTACCGGTAGGAATTGAAGCGTCGATATTCGAAGAACCATCTAAGGGATCGAACACGACTACATATCTCGCGTCGTGGTTGCCTTCCACCACTACTGGCTCGTCCTCCTGAAACACCGCCGCGTTCCGAGTTCGGGGGTTAACCGTGAGCCATGACAGAATCAGAAATAGCAACAGAGGCGGGACACGCGTCTCGGCCAACTTCTAAACAAAGCAGAAACACCCGTACGCTCGACTGGTAGTGAGTTGTGAGGTATCATGTTCTTTGTGAGGGTTGCGTTGATTGGGAGGGCATCGCGAACGTCGTGTGTTCGGGTGAAATGCCACATCTTCCTCGATTTGTGAGTGGTATCAAATTCACGCTGGTACTCGTGCTGCGAGGCTCTGCTGCGATATCCCTTGCTCTGTATCCAGCATGGCCAATAACAGTAGACTAGACAAAACACACACACACTCCATGCCCCATTTCGACTACCCTCGAGCTGGAAAGTCCGACGAGTCGCCCCATAAAACTCCCAGCGCAAAAAAAACGCCACTCTTCACAGTATGTATCTACTTGTATATTCTCGGGGGACAAATAAATAATCGTGCGTGCTCCATAGCCTACGCCTCCGGAAAATTTTCTACTCATGCATGCTCCGTAGCCTACGCTTTCCCGCAATGTTTCTTTTGTCTTGCGACAAAACCAGCGTTTCGCCTTTGCCGTGCAATGCAATCCCACCCAGCGAGCGAAGGAGGGCACACACCTCCTCACTGGCCAGCACTCGCACGACCCCCGACCTCGCCAAGAAACCCTTCAGGAGGTCGTTCGAAACGACGTCCAACTTTTTCTGCTCATCTCCTCCCGCGTTTTGGCCGCCTCCTGAAGCGACACCCGTGGCTCCCGCTATTGCTGCTCGCCGAACCAGCATCGATATCCCCTTGCAGGCTGCCTCTAAGGCTGCGACCAGGGGAACGATGTCTTCCAGCCCTTGACCTGGGGAAATTATTTTTGTGCGCCCGTGCGTGAGGTAGGTGTGGGGAGCAAGCGCAAAATGAGAGCTAGGGTGTGCGCGCGCAGACAAGGTCAACTCCTTCGTGGTTTAACAATAACGGTATCCAGAGAACACACACACGTGGGTCAACTGTAGATGGACAGTTCGTGAAAGCTGATGATGCTCCTTGTGGGGCGCTGGTCACAAGTCTGTGTCCCCAACAGAACAACAACGGCCGCGTAGCGTCGCCATCTGTTTCGGGACCAGGACGACTCAGCGGTGCGCCCACGTTTCGACCCAGTTGTTCCAAAGGTATCAACCACTGGAGTTTGTCTTCCAGTTACATCTCGGAGCGAGTGTTTCTGCCTTCGCACGCCGCCTTCGTTCTACACGCGCGTTGATTTATTGGTGGCGTGTTCCTCAAATGGAACGGCCTCCCCCGGCTGAAGCCATTGAGTCATGCGATTCTTGGAGGCCTCGACCTCTAGCTTCTTGGGGTCGTGGTTCGTTCAGAGGGCCAGTGCATGCAAAGACTGATCTACACACGCAATGGAATGGAGCTTAGTAGCCTTGGTTCGTAGCGGATGGATACGAAGTTGTAGAACATAGGCACAAGGCAAGAGCAACAGGCGGTCGAGCCGAAATAGGTTGGCAGCTTGCTGACCTCCCACCCCGCCAATATCAAGGCCCGCAAGGGTGCGCAAATCACAGAGTGATCGAGTCCAAACCGACAGCAGTCAGCAGTTGTCAGTGCTTCGACAACCGGCCGGCAAACCAGCAACCTCGACCAGGGTGCGCATGCACAGCGTGCGCGTAGCATATAAACTACATGTCGCGTATATATGTTGCTCGGAGAAATCATGAGTCTACAGCAGCACCCTGTTTTCCCTCAGATCCGAAATTGATAAACCAGAAGTCCATCCCACCTGGTCGACCCCTTGCTTCTCGGCCTGCTTCACTGATCAGGGTGGCGGGAGCGTCTGTGAGCAATCGGCTGCTACGGCAGGTTGACTGCTGTTGGTCAGACATGACGACACATGATGCTGCTGGGGTCCTGTCTCGGCCTGTTGAAGGCGATCGGGCCCCGGGTGCAGGACCTAGAAATGCTTCGATCAAAGAAGGCAACGATAGCAGGCTCGACAGGGCAAGGAGCTGGGCACAATGGGCAAGCATCGCTGTCCTGACCGAGAGAATGGGGAGTGGCGAGCGGAGAGAGAGACACCCAACACAGCGCGCGGAGCTTGAGTGGCGGGACTGTCAAAACTTACGGAGGGGGGGCGGGTGGGGGGGCACCGTGTGTGGGATATCCCAAGCTCGCACGCAACCAACGCGAGCAGACAGGCAGCGGGAGAGGCGGCAGAGGAAGCTGGTCAACGAATCCTATCGGCGTCTGCAAATCAGCCCCAAAGCGATGGAAACAGCCAGCACGGTGCCCATCTTGCTAGATCATATACTCAACTCAGATCACGACGCTCTTCTCCACTCTGCGGTGTTCTCCGGATCACACGGGACGCTCTTTTGTGTGCATTGTGCTTCGGACAGGTATCTAATCTTGCGAGAGGCAGATCCACAAAGCATCTGGTTTGTGCCATCTCATGGCGCCCATTTACGACGTCTGGGGATCTGCCCTACTTTCCACCGGAACGACTTGGGCTTGTTTGTCAAGATAACAAAACATTTGAACGCTACACTGCTTAAGTCTGCTGCTGAACACTTGCTGTTCTCATGCCGCATTTTTGAATTTGAATGCGATCCTGCAACAGTATTATAGTGAAGAGATTTCTCTTCACAAACGATACCGAGCTGGGTGGCTTCAATACCTCTTTAGTCGCCTAGCCAACCCCTGACATCCGTCCTTGATTTGCCATCCACATCCTTGTCTCCTCTTCTGGCTGTCTCGTTCCAGGTACAACAGCGCTCCAAATTTTCGCAGGCTGGCTCTTTTGGACGGCATCCGGTGCATTCTTGGGGTGCATGAACCACAGTCGCTTCGCAACGGCGGCATCGACGCGTGCCTGCCCATGCTGTTGAACGGGATCGGCAGCGAAGATGCGGAGGTGGTGCAAGCAGCTACAGACATCATGTTGGTGAGCGAACCATTGGCCTGCCTGTACGCAGCGGTAACAATATTCCATAGTCTGCGGGCATGATAGGTGCGGAGGGAGGTGCTATACGTAAGAGAACGCCGCGGACGTTCAGCATGTGGCGTCTTTATGCAGGAGTTAAAATCGAACCAGGAGCTCGACACCTTTCCTGCCACAACAAAGCTTTCCCCAAAGCTGAGCCGAATAATTAGACCTCCATATCTGTCCTTTCACTTTTGTATAGAAGATTTCAACGACTCTTTGTTCATACGATAAATTTACGTGTTGCTTAGGGAACCACCATGAGACGCGAACGAACGTCGTACATGTAGGATGTGATTTTCATCTGATACTATTTAGATAGGGAGGAGGAATGAGCCGCGTGGTCGGCTCAATACCTGCAGTAGTCTGTATCTGAGATGCTGTGTGTGATGTAGACTTCCTCCGCACTTCATACACACGTATCCGGAATATATTGAGCAGATCTTCAAGACTGCTGAGCATCCGCTCCCGCTGGTGTCAAATGCTACACCGACGGACGGCGGAGGAACACAGACACACGCCGTGACACACGCGATGCTACAGCAGTACCGTTCGGCACCCAACAGCACTTCCGCCGGCCAATAATATTGGAAGACACGAAAACACTAGATAGAACCCATCGGGCAGCGCGATGTGGAAAGCCGGTGGACAGTGGCAGGAGCGCAGCAGTTCCAACCGAGCCAGTTCGTTCTCTCGCATGGACCGTTTGTCAACATCTCAGTCCCTCTCGTGTTTCGCTTTTGCTGGAGGCGGCGTCGTTTGTTTGCTTCCCTTATCCCCCGCCCTATGACAATCCAGCGAAAGACGTCATCCCTATATCGTTCTGAGTCCCACATGGCGACTGCATCCACAGCACCAACCGCCTCGACTTCTCTCTCCGCTGCTGTTGTTGCTGCTGTAGGCAAGACCTCAATCTATCCTATTTTCACCCATCTACTTTTCCAACGGCCAATAGAACCGCCAAGACTCTCCCTGTTGTTTAGCCAGAGAGCGGGTACCAGGTTTTCTTTTACTGCTGTGCTTATACCTATGGAAGGGATTGGACCACGGCGGGTGGGTGTGATTCTGTGGATGTGCGAGACTTGCCAGCAGCATGCTACTTCTGTTTCTTCTCCTGGTTTGAATCGCGCGCGCTTGAGATCTCCGCTTTTGAAATCCTGCTTTCCTTCCTGAACTCCCAGGGGACAGGGTGAGGAATCTCCTACGATTGTTTGGCACAAGTGCATGTGAAGCACGGCCATCTCTCGCCGAAGCACGACCAAACCGGTGTGACGAAGAGTGCACTTTTTTTCTCTCTCCTTAGATGCCAACAGATCGTAAATCGGTGCCCATAGATCTCGTTCTGCTCCCAAAGGTGGGTTATTTTGGCTTCCCGGAAATCAAACGTTGGGCCCTTGCATCACGTTGGAACAGGCCAATATTTAGAGCCTGTTTTTTCCCTCCGTCCCAGGAGGGGACGGAGGGAAAAGAACGGTCGCGCTTCGCGCTCCGCAGCTCATTATATCCCCTCCCTCCCTCGTACCGACTCGAACACACCCACACGTGCCGCTACCAACCACACATCTTTTTTAAATGTCGTCGCCGGTCACCCTTCCTGCCTGCCCCGCCCCTCCGCTCACGCCCTTTTTCTAGTCGCTCAAAGATGAACTCCCTGATCCTGTGGCCGTCCTAACCTCACTCATCTCCAGCACCGTGTCTCTGGGGCTTCCTCGCGCGTCCGGCCACCTTTACCTGGTCGGCAAGCTCCTGGCGAACGCCTCCTACGACCGTGCTCTGGCCGCCACCCTCGGGAACTCTTGCTTCGGACGTCGCGATGGTCACGGGCAAAGACAACAACAAACTCTTGTGATCGGGGATCGAAGCGGCCAGGGGATTGTCCCTAGTCATGGTGGCAGCGGGGTTGAAACCAGGGATGAAGGGGAAGAGCTCCGAGGCTTCGGAGCGTTTTTGGCTGCGCAAGCGTTGTCCACATCCTGCTCGGATCACACCAAGTCAGACGTGCTTTTCGTCGCCTTGGAGCTACTCGATTGCTGCACGGCAGTATGCATGGGTGCTGGCATCGCGCCACAGGCGAGCATGGGTTTCATGGATATCGGATCACACGTGGCACTGCCCTCAGAGATACCGCGCGTTGAGTCAACTACGGTTGGCAAAGGAGTATTTATGAAGGGTGATTAAAGGTCATCCTGATCTCTGCACATCCTGGTGGTGTGAACACGCGTTGTGTGATATTGCTTACACTCGGCCTTGCAGAACTATTGAATGCTTCGTACATCCTCTCAATCGTGCGGCGAGGCAAGACTCCAATCTCTTCATTTACTTAGCGCTACGCTTAAGAAACAAGACGTGTGTGCGTTTGGTTCGCATGTTCTGACGTAACGGGTGCACCTTAAAGAGAATGCCCCCAACCTTCAATAAACGCAGGGTCCGTTGATGCCTCCTCCACCTGGAGGCGACCCCTTCGTGAGCATTATGCTGGCCCTTCCTCGACTTCTGGCCCGACGGTCGTCTTCCGATGAACTCCTCCAGCTGCACGGCATCGCATACCTCGCCACGGTCGCGAGGTACTGCCGACAACGCACGGAGATGGGGGTGCCCGGGTGGTCGTCCAATCGTGATGGTGAGAGCGCTGGTAGATCTTGTGCACAGCGTGCCGCACTCTGTCAGACAAATCCCCAACCGGGAATAGGCACCAGCGAGTGCCACTTCGTTTGCGCCGACTCCGTGATGTAGAGGTACCCTGCTGGTTATTTCTGAGATGGGAGTGGGCCCTGGAACAATGATTTAGAAGTAGCATGGCCATGGCGGTATTTTTTTCTACTCTCGCATGCCCCCGGGGTTATTTTCTTGATTTGTAATTTTTCTTCCAACATTCGATTCTTTCTTTATCCAACGTGGTCTTAAACAGTGTGGTAAGGAAGGCAAGGATAGTACGTGGCCTGCGTCGTTCCGTCCGTGGGTTTAGAGCCCTTGTTCATCAAGAGAGACAGGAAAATTGGTTGTAGACATTGCCGACCGACAATCAAGCAGTAGACTTGCACGTTTCGACCTCATCATTCTGCTTGCACGCCGGCGAGCCTATATCTCCTCTCCTTTTGTTGGTGGTCGGAGGACGTGAGGAGGGGGAACGGACACCCTCATTGAACTTATAGACGGGAGAATTGCCGAATACTACCATATATGTTACCACGGGAAGAACAGCTTTGCAGTCCACACGCCACGGGATGACAAGTAGTGACATTTTCCTGCATGTTGTCGTTGGTGCTTGCGTCAACAGGGGTACCAGACGTGCTGGCCGAATTGTTCGAAGGCGCACGTGAAGCCACGCCGCGCGAGGTGCTGCCGACTGGTGGTGGCGGCGAAGGCAGCAAGCAATCTTTCTCCGGTGGAATGCTATGCAGCACGCTGAAGACCCTGTTGATGTCGTCGTCGTATCGGGTGCGCTCGGCCACAGCGCGGCTGATCACTTCGCTCTGCCGTGACGTTCCGTTCGGCGAAGATTCTGAACTAGCGCACGAAAACGCCGCTATGGGCAGCCGTAGGAACGGGAGTAGCCTTTTCTTCCGAGAAATTCTGCTAGCGGCGGGATCGACCGGTAAGCCTTCCTGTTCATTTTGTTGGAGCGAACTGAGATGGGTCGACATGTTTCCAACCCAAGGCTTGTCTGCGTTTCACGTTGGTGCAAGCATTGTGATCCGCCACCCGTAGCCTATAACAAGAATTGTGCTTCATGCTCAAGCTACATGAAGAGGTAGCTCTTGAGACCTGCAAGTTAACACGCCTGAACAATGGCTCGGTGAACAGCAATACGTCGCAGGCATAAGCTCATGTTGAATATTTCGGGCGGATGACATACTGCTGCTGCTGCTGCTGCTGCTGCTGCTGCTGCTGCTGCTGCTGAACTTCTGTAAATTGGCTATCTCTTCTCCTGTCAGACTTCTTGTTCGAGGCGATCAAGTCCGAGCGAGAAGGCTCCACGAGGTACTATCTCGAAGCCGCAGACGCGTTCGCTTCGTCGCCGGTGGAGTTCTTCCATGCGGACAATTTTTGCATGAAATTTGCGGCGCCGATCCTGCTAGACGCTTTCAGAGGTGGTACTGCGTGTGGGCCAGAACCCTACGATCGAGCCGGCGGCAGTCGCAGCGACGATGAGGTGCGTAAGCACCAGCTTTTGCTTTTACCTCATCGGGTGATATTTTGTGTTTGAGGTGGCTCGCGGTTCCGTTTAGTTCCAACAACGGCGAAGGTTTATGAGGAACCATGTTACAAGCACAATTCTGCAGTCATGACGTGCAGCGCTATCCAGAGTGCGTAAGTGACAGGTAAGTTGAACAATTTTTACTTTGATTTCTTACTCTGATTCAAGCATGTATATGTTGCGCGGTGACTTGCGGCTTATCCTGTCCACGTTTTCCCAATGCTCTACCCGCGCCGTACGAACTGCTGCAGGCGACGGTGGTTGCCTTGTCTTCCCGTCTCCTTTTGCAAGCCCTCGTCACGGTACCTTCGTCAGGGGGGGTCGTGGAGGAGCTCCTTGCGACGGCAGCAGTTTCGCCCCAATCCGACCTGCCGAACAAGACTCGACCGATCGGGTTGGCGGCCGATGTCTTGAGTCTGGTCGCATCTGGTGATATATCGCTGTCCAAGGTACAGTCGCCAAACCTCCTAAGCAACTTGGCGTTCAGATAGTTGTTTCTCGTGTAGAGAGTTTGTACTATCTTGTCTGTGCTGTTTATCCGGCGGACACACTTGCAGATGAAACTTCTGATCCGCAGGGTGTGTACCCTTTGGGCAAATTATTCGTCAATAGTGGTTACTGGCCACGACAGCACCAAGCCATAAAGTTAAAGTTTACGTATGCCAAGAAAGCCGTTCCGATGCGTTTTTAATGTTATCATCTACGAAACGCCGGCACAGACCATCTTTCCCCGCCCATCAACCTTTCTAGGATCGCGGCAACTTTTTGGACGCGGTAAGGGTGTTGCTAGAGCATTTAGAAGAGGACCTCGAGTGTGCCGCTTGCCTGGATTTCCAGAAGCAGCAGCGGCAGCAGCAGCAAGCGCATATGCTAAGTCCGGGGGAAGGAATGTGCGATAAGTCCGGGGGCGGCCGGTCGTGGCCAGGCCAGCAAGAGGGTCACGACGATGGCGGTCTTGTTCTTCAGTGCGCGCGGGTCTACGAGAGTCTGTTGCACACCGCGGAGGAGTGGGTTTCATCGCAGGGAAGCACTGTCGGAGGAACGTCGTGCCAGGCATCGGCGGCGGCGGCGGCGGCGGCGGCGAATCGCTTCGGCGGCGGCGGAAGGAGAGGTTTCCGCGGCGAGGAGAGCGTCGGTCTGGCGGACCTTGTCTTCAGCTCATACGAGCGCACCCTGTCTTACCAGTGTAACCTGATCGCCCAGTCCGAGAATCTTACCCACGACGTCGCGTGGTTGTCTTGCTTAGGGGCCGCCGTTGACGCCACCTCAGCGGTGCTGTTCCACAAGCGGCGGCGAGAGGAAGCGGCAGCCCGCGGTGGTAGAACCAGCAAGAACGGAACGATGGGGTCTTGGCAGCTCTTGAATGTGCGGCCGTCCTTCGTAAACACCCAGGAGCTAGATCGTGACTGCAGTGGTGGTAGCGGTGCTAGTGGTGGTGCGGTCGGTGGTGGCGAACAGGAATATTCTATCGCTCCCGGCGAAGTCAGCATACCTGCTTCGTGCTTGGAGACCATCCTGAAGGTGGTTGTGGAGGCAGACGTTGTCTCCTGGATGCTGGATCTGTACGCTCAGTGTGGGGGGGACACATCTTCCGGCGGTACCACCACTCATTCCTCGCAGTCTTCCGAGAGGTCTTCGGACGTTGTGGATGCACACGGTGCGACGACCTGTGCCCTGCTGATGGAGGTGTTGCAGAGCTTGCTGGACGCGCAGGGCTGGGTCAACGGGGTGTGTGCCCACGGAGCCGACCGCCCATCTTACGAAATGGAATGCGGTGGCAGGGGTCCAACGATCGGAGAGACGGTGCGCTTGATGCTGCAGTCGTGGACTACGAGGGGCGTCAGTGGCGCCGAGGAGGTGCATATGCCTCTGGATCAGCACGTCATGTCTCAGCTTGGCAAGAGGGCAGACAATGGCGATTTGTGCAAGCTAGTGGTGAGTCCCGCATGTCTTTCCTTGGGGATGCACGATGAATATTTTTGCACGTTTTTGCCGAGGCATGTGGGGTGCCATATAGCTCGGAAGATATATTATATCATTGTGTAGGGCAGCGAACAACTTACTTATATGACTGAACCACAAACGCGGAAGTCCTTCCCATGTTAGTCGTTGTTTGTATCAGTAGGCCGCGGCCCGGAATTGTCGGCATACCAATTTGTTTGAATGCAATGTACCGCGAGGACAATGACAGGTACTTGGCAATAGCAAACAGGACCCAACGAAAGAAAAATCACTTTTATCTATGCCGACGGGCGAAGGATACGCCGGTAGTATCGACAGAAAACGCCATGTCTCGTCATGCGTCACACATGCGGTCTTCGTAATCTTCCAGTGGTGGTACCGAGGACGATACAACCGAGTAGAGGCGAAGCAAAAGGTACGTATCCGCACGGGATCTCTGGCGTACAACTTCCAATCGCCTTTGGAGAATCGCGTTTGATCGGGTCGTTTTCGTTCAATATCCGACGGGTCCAGGTACTACGAACAACCTCGCATGTAAACCTTGCTGGTTGTCAAATTCTTGCCGTCTCGCAAGAATCGTAGCAATACCATAGTACTAGCCCATAGTCACAATAACAATTACTTCTTCTAGGTCAACGCTTGCGGTTCCTGCACAATATATTTCCTTGCCTCTGGCGTTGTCTTCGTCCTTCGACAGGTATTACTCGTGAGCGTTAGCCCTTCCTTCTTAGGCGTGCTGCACCCTCATGTGGGATGCAGAATCGACTCGGCGGTGACCCTACTCCGCTACATCAAGACCCTTCCGGAGGCGGTATTTTGCCTCAATCTGTTCTCTCACATCGTACTAGTGGAGGGTGACAAGATCGATGGAGGCCGCGGTGGGGAGCTGTCCTCTAGGTTGAGCGAGGACCTGTCGGCAGCAGTCAAGGACTTGCTTGCTCGGTTTTCGGTCGAAGAGGTAGCCCTCTCCTTGATCCCACTGTCCGCATCGGCCATATCCTTTGCCCTTCTGGCAGGCTGCGAGGCGTTTGTCTCCAACTGGTTAGTCGCGGCGCCGCTCGCCCGGGTCAAACGAGCCCTGACCGAGTTTGGTGCCTTTTGCGAACGACAAGGTGATGCCGATGACGACACTGCCGATCTCGTCGTTGGTTGCAGTGAACGAGTGGCGTTGAAAGGCATTTTAGGGGCTATCCTGCGTCGCTGGGGCGTGGAAGCTGGAAAGGATTCGCCGCATCACTCACAGTCCGACGCTGTCATCTATCGATTGGCGTGTGTACTTCTGATGTCGCCAGATACCTTGTTGTCTCTAGCCTTCGATTCAGACTCCCACCCCAATGGGTCCATTGCTAGCGCTCTCGCTACGATAATTCCTGAAACGCTCGAGGGGTTGTCGGCGGCGTTGTCACCGGTGGTATCGCGGCATGGCGACAGAGGCAACACCAACTACCTGGCCTCCAAGCTCGAGTGCGCGTCTTGTGTGTCCCAGATAGCGTCAGCCTTCCTACGCGCGCGGTGCACGCATGGCTACTACACTACCATCGATCGGGACGTACGTGCGCGCACTGGGTTCGCTTCGTGCCAGGAGCCTCCAGAAATACCGCTTGCTCGTGCCTGTGGAGGTTTGCTTCAAGGGATGCTTCGCCAGAGGCGAGGCCAAGGTTCATTTGGCGATGGTGAAGACAGCACGGTCAAAGCTCTGCTGTCTGTGCTGAATCTGCTTGGTGCGTTGCTGGTTCTTGTCGGCAGGGACTCCTTCCTTCTGCGACAAGCCAAGCAAGGGCTAGTGCTCGCGCTCCAAGAGTCCCGCGCTGCTCTTTCGGAAATGTTGGCATCCACCGCGGTGGCGACAGAGCGGCTGACGGGCTGGTTGGACCACGCTCCCGATGTCCTCGCTGCCTTCATTCAGGTTTGTGTTGTTTCGAACGCCTTGGAGTCGACATGTGACGGCTTTGGTGGAGGTTCGGGCCATTCCCTACTCGTTCCCCCCTTCCAGGTGCTCGGGGAAGTGTTTTCTTCGGGAGGCAGCGGACCGTGTTTCGTGGAAGGGGGAGGGGGAATCAACCACCACACCAAAACGAAGTTACCGGAAGCAAGAGCTGTACCGTCGATACCGCGGCGAGTGGTGCGCAGGTCGTTGCTCCAGGTGCTGGCCGTGCGTTGTGTCGAGGGCGCGGCCCAAACTGGGTTCTTCAGCGGTCAGGAGGTCCTGGCGTTGCAGCTCGCCCTGCAAGGCATCGCATGTCACGGCGGTCCAACTCTAGCGTCCGCCGCGCACGGCGCTATCCAAGCCCTGTGGGAGTCATACTCTGGGGTGCTACAATCTGCCGACCTAGTGGGGCAATCCTGGAACCCTTTCATGGTGGAGTGCTCCCTGGACAATGCTCTGCGTTCGTTGTCCCGTGACCAGGAAAGTGGGGCTGGTTTTGGTCTTCTGCCTTCAGAGGAGGACCCCGATGAGTTTCGGGTGGGTGCGTCTGTCCTTGTTTCGGCTATTGGAAGGCTCCTGAGCTGGAGTGCAGGAAAGACCTGTCTCGGGCTCCGAACTTCCGGGGTCTTGGCAGGGTGCAACATTGAGCTACTCTCAGCGACGGCAGTGGCGGCCGTGTGCCGTTGCACCGCCCTCCTGGCCACAAATCTTCGCATCGCGTTGGGAGACGACACGGTTCAGCGGGACGACCGGCTGGGCAAACGTCCACGGCTAGGCTGCCAGAGCAGCAGCAACAGCAGCAGTAGAAGAAGCTCGAAGGAGATGGCAGAAGACGGCGGAAAAGGAGGCGATGGGGAAAAGCTCCACCTGTCAGATGCGTTGACGCGCTTGGTGGACGTGCTTACGTGCATCGAGCCTAGTCTGTCACAAGCGGGATTGGATCTGAGATCGGAGACGAGGAAAGAGTTATTGGATGCGCTCGTCCCGCTTTACTCCGCTCTTGCTTATTCTCGTGAGGGAGGGAGTATGCGACACGAAAAAATTTGGGAGCAGCTTGAGCAAGTATCCATGCCACTCTCGCGTGGGGCTTACCACGACGGTGGTAGAGGTCACGGCGAATCGAACAGCTACGAAGGCGTGTTCTTTGTGAAGTACGACAACTGGTGGTCCATCTCTGGTGTGTCTGGACCATTGCCGTTGGCGGAGCTAGCGCGAGAAGTCGAAAGATTCGTTGAACTACTATCAAGAACGCCGGGAGCGGGGTTGAGAATGGAGGGGTGTGAAAGCCACGCGGTGCAAGATGAAGATTCATCGATTGCGAAGTCCGCCAATGTTGCATGAAATACTGGATCGTGGCGCTTTGTGTTGTGCTTTCGCGGAACGTTGTTTTGCTTGAGGGCGTCAGAGAATCTGACCATGGTCATAATAGGTCATCGGTCGAGGTCGTGCCGATAAGAGAGCTGCTGCAGCTTTGGGGATGGAGCTGCTCTCTCAAGGACCCGCTGTCAGCGTGGGGGCTGGTTTTGTTGCTCAGGGGCGTTCGTGCTCAGGCTCGTTCATTCTCATCAGATTGCCAATGGTCAATACAATCGAGACTTGTCTCGTTACCGCCGTGTCTTTCCAAGACCGACCACGCGTGCGTACCTTTTTTCTCGACTTCACGTGTAAAAGGCCCATTCGTTCTCGCGTAGGCTGACGATCATATATAGGTGGGCAGCAGGCACGAAAGTCGAAACAGTTTGATATGTCGCGCTTGCAAGAACCGTGACGTATGCCTAGGTGAATGGTATGCACTCCCACAAACTCATTGTTCTCACCGAACCAAAAGCAAGGACGGTGTAGTACTTGTACAGAACGCGCACGCACGCACTTAAGAACCTCTAGGTTTGGTCAAAGGCAGGGTATTTTTTCCTGGGGTCATGGCTACGAATGGTTGATTGAGTATTTTGAGGGTTCTTAACCGAGCGCACAAATAAATGGTGCTCAAGTTCTTAGGGTTAGGATTATTCATTTCTTAACTGCCACAAGATTTCCAGGGCACTTTCTTTGCTTGATATAGCGAGATATATAGACATGTAGATCTCACAATAGGCTCTAGACACAGTTAATTTAGCAATGGACACATCAAATCCACAGCTCGGCTATCCCCTCTCATCGTAACAGCAGTACACTCTATTCTAACAGGAACACATGGTGAAATGACCCTTCCTTCTGTGAACCCGCAGGCAAAAAGGAAAAAGGGCTTCAGTTGAGGCCGGGGCTACCCCCGGGTCATTTTTTTACATCAGGAGAACGTCGCCTTACCATCTCATACCAGCAGATGGACCACCGAGACAGGAGTCCTAAAGAGGGTGATGTCGATTAGTTTACTGTAAAGAACAAGGCACGGGCTTCTGCTGGCGAGCGAGCTCTCTGCCACTGCTGTACTGTAGTAGAACAATGAACTAGTCGTTCTTGCTGATGCTTGTAAGCGCAGCTTCAAGATGTCTATTTAGTCTGTAGACGATACGATACAATAATAATAGATGGCGAGCTCGTAAAACCATGGTGCATGCTGCATGTACAAGAACAAGAAAAATAGTCCCATGTGGACAGTACGCACATACACACATCATTTCCGGAATATTTCACGTCACCCCCGAAAAAAACACAAGTTCGACACCCATAGCCACTCGCTATTGCTGCACAACGAATACCATGGCCACCACTTTGCTAGAAACCGGGCCCACTGCTGGCAGCGATATCTCTGTCTCGAGAAACCATGGAGATGCCAACACCAGCGGAGGCAGCAGTACTACCCTGGATCTTGCTTCTATTGCACCAATACTCAACGCCGGCTTCCGAGCGGTGTTGAAAGAGGCGGCCAAGCTTGGGGTGCTAGACCCCCCCCACGGCCGAACGCCGATGCCGGACCCGAACAAGATAACGGAGGAGGGTCCCTGTACGCCCAGCGGTAGCGATAACGACAACGACAGCAACAATGACCAAGAAGAGGAGGCGAAGACAGATGTGTCCGTCGAGCCGGAATCGGTAGCCATAGCAGACGTGGGGTCATTGCCCAGGGAAGACGACGACGAGGACGACGAAAATGTCGAGGACGACGATGCCGACGACGACAAGCTCTTGGAGTACACGTTCGACTATGGATTCAACCCTCTCGTGTTTCTTGGGGAATACCTTCGAAAGAATAATCCCGCGGCTGTCCAGGCTCGCAAAGAGCAGCACGACAACGATTTGGAGTATCTTCGACAACGTGTAGCGAAGTGCCGTGAGAGGGAGACGACGGTGGCGGAGCTTCGCGAGCTTGTCATCCTGCGACGGTCTGGAATCATCCACGGTCCGATAGTCGGGCAGGTGTCTGACTGTGGTGGTATTGTTTGGGCGAGAACGTTTCGACCAGGTGCGTTTCTGCTACTGCTAAGACCTTTCATTGCACCAGAAAAACTCATGTGAGATGGATGATTTAGATACGGTCACACGAGAGTGTACAGCAGTCGCCGTTTTTCGCTCTCTTTCTCGTAGTCGAAAAATGAAACCGTCGCTCAAAAGCAACTTTGGGAGGGCTGTTGTTTGTGCGCCGGTCCCTACTACAGTACCCTATTCTGCGAGATCAATTCGGGTTGCTGCCAGCTCGTTGCGAATCAATCACAAGAGAAGCCTTGAAGGCGCCGTAGAGTTTATTTGGGAGTGAATCTATTAGCGCATGAGTCTTCCACTTTGTCGCCAAGATCGTCTACTACATAGCTCCATGCAGATGCGGCGTAACTCCTTGAATAACCCATCCCGCTCAGGTTTTTCAGGAGTTACGCCGCATCTGCATCGAGCTTGTTGACGATCTTACGATCTTGGCAACAAAGTAGTCGAGGCCAGGGAGACTCATGCGTTAATCGATTCACTCCCAGATGAACTCTACGGCGTCTTTACAAGGCTGCTATTGTGATTGATTCGCAACGAGCTGGCAGCAACCCGACTTTTGAAGATCTCGCAGAAATGGCGGAGAAGCACATCCCATAGTCTATGCTGGTCAAATTCCCGGGGGACGGGGGAAAGTAACCACCCATGATGGTGATTCCGGCAGCGACGGCCGTGCGCTGAACACAGTCGTGCACGGAGGAGCGCGTGAATTCCGCAAGCAAGGGGGTCGCGAAAGAAGAGGTCGTCGAGGAAATGGCGGCAGAACCGGAACGGTTCGAGCAGCGATGTTGCGTCGAGCGGGCACAAAACATGCTCTAGGGGAGATTTGATTCGATCCTCGGGCATTACTTAGTTGTTAACTATTGTTGAACAGCACGATGACCACTAGACCATCAGTCAGCGCTGGCTGGTGGTCTAGTGGTCATTGTGCTGTTCAACACCGACATTTTTTCGAGGTCGTACTTGTACGGAAGCAAATTCTTATGGTTGTACTGGTACACTGAAAGCACTGGGTCCTATCTTCGTGCTGTAGTGCGCATCACCCTTTTGTTCTGAAAGGAAACCGCTTGCTACGGGTTGCAAAAGAAGTACAGTAGTACAGTAGCAAATAACTTCTGTTCTTAACCGAGTACTATAATCATCGGAGATTGTTTACTCTGTAGACACTGTAGTTGTCTAAAGTCTAAAACCTCACATCCGGGGAGTGGGGTCGGTCTGGTCAAAATGAAAACCCAGCGTTAGTACTCCCCGGCGTCGTACGTACAGTACGTGCGTGTTGGAGGATAAGTACCTGAGGCTCCGCATCATCGCGCACCCCCTAGACTGACGTTCAACGCTCGATACCCCTAGCCAAGAGGTTGCGGAAAACGACCAATGCATAGTACATGAAATGGGAGGCTCTCGACCACACTTTTCCGAAAGCACCACCCTCTCTACAGCATC